GGCGAAGAATAATTATAATTAATTATACTTGTCATAAGATATTAGTTTTAGGCCTAATATTTTTTAACACTGCATTCTTTACTTAGTCTTTTAGGAACCTTAAAGAATCAGAACAGTGTATAATAATAGTATTTCCACCACACCATTTTTCTTTTGCGTTATTCATTGCCGACGACGCGTTTCGTTCAATGGATTTATTTTTAGGAAATATAAAACATATACATTTTAAGAATAGATAAACTAGTAATAACTGTTGTTATTGGCTATATTTTTTATTATTTTATGTGTATGTACACTAGAGGAAGTTTGTTTTTCAGCTGAGTAATGATTGGTGAAGTCTAGAAATCTTATGAAAGTTTATGTTTCTGTGTATAATCAAGAAGCCTCCTGTAGTGCATAGAAATTTAGTACAATATAAAATTGCCAGACTGAATGAGTTAGAGTAAGTTAATCAGTTTAGTGTCATTTAGTGAGTTAGACAGAAAGAGTTAATGAGTTTTATCGTTTTATATTTAGACAGTGAGAGTTAGTGAGTCTGTTCGTCTGTGATTCAGTTTGTCAACCAGCGTGTTTGTTATCGATCCATTAACACCATTAGGAGGAAATCTTACAATTAAGTGTTCGACTTTCATTAGTTTCGGAATTTCTGTTAAAAATGTTCTCTGTGAAATTAGGCCTACCAGCGAACATAGCCTGTTGCAAACTTCATTGAATAAATATACTAATTCCTTATCGTTACGTGGACTGAATATCGCATTGTTTTTACCAAATAAATAATAATAAAAAAACTGCCTAATGATAAAACACCTTACAATAAAATTAAGCCTCATTTTAAACATCAAATAAATAATATATAGCCCATCCCCATAAGTAACATCCCTAGTTGAATTTAAACAGAAATTTATAGCAGAACGTCAGGCTGGTAAAAACATAAAAAGGCAATTTAAAAAAGTTTAAATAGTCCACTCATCTGAGTCAGAGAAGTCCGAAAGCTTGTGAATCTTTTGATCATTATATTTGAAGGAGGACGTCGTAGTTTTAATCCCATCTTATTTCTGTAAGCTTATGTATTATGCTTATGTATTATCTAATTTAGCTACTTATAATTATTTTATGGTGCGTATAATAGCTTCTGCTCTGATTTCTAGACCTACTTGGTCTGTTACAATGTAAGTCTACGGACTTACAGCGCTAGCATCCGGGGTTCGATTCCCCGCGGTGGACACAGCAGATAGCCCAATATGTCTTTGCTCTAACAACAACAACAAAGCAAACTGTTATAATATATTCATTTGGAATCTTATGTAAGAATTATCGGGGTAACTAGTTTTATTTTGTTTTTTGATAATCTAAATGGCTTTTTAGATTTTTTTTAGCAGACAGTGGTTGTCCCATTTAACGACCCTACCATTCAGCTCTAAATTAAATTAGGGTGGGACATTTCATATAACGTATTAAATAGGCTTAGTAGTATACGATGTAGATATTATTAATCATACTCGTCATAAGACATTAGTATTAGGCCTATTATATTCTTTAACACTGCATTCTTTATATAGTATCTTGTGTATCAGAAGAATTAGACGAGTGTATAATAATAGTTTTCCAATACACTATAATTGTTATATCCACTGCTGACGATGTGTCTATCTCAATCTAGAGCCCATCCCCTCCAAGTAGCTCAGCGGTAAATTGAAAGCTTTATAACGCTAAAAACCGGGTTTAGGTATCCGTGGTGGGCACAGCATAGATAATTCATTGTGTAGCTTTGTGGTTAATAACAAAAAAACAAAGAAATTCAGAGTTCCCCAATCTATGCCAACTTGAAAAAGGCGTTCACACCACAAAAAAATATGATTACTACTTTATCTAGCATTAAAATGTTTGAGATTTCTTAAAAATAAGTCCATTATTGATAACTTGATATTGAAAACTTTATGGCAACCTGTTATAATTCAGTTTAGAAATGCTGAAAATTAGATTTGACATATTCTGAAAATAAATCACATAAAAATATTTCCCTGGTGGGAGAGCGGTAAGTTTACGGACTTACAACGTTAAAATCCAGGGTTAGATGGTTCAATGTGGCTTTTGCTAAAAACAAAACTGAAAACAAACAAACATAAAAATGTCTTGAATGAATGCACACATTTAATGATATAGCTCGTTTTTTGTTCTTTTTTAAGCTCTCGGTGCTTCAGTTATATTACTCTGGGCACTATCACGAATCTAAAAAAGAATCGTTAAATTTTGAAATTAGACAAAGAATTCTTTATTTAAATCTTTAACACGACTCTCCATAGAAGCTTTTATTTTATTTAAGAAATTAAGTAAATAGTTTATACTTCTTACACTGTAAAACTTCATTAAAAACAGAAATAAAAAAAGAAAGCTTCTAAACAAGTTGAATTTTATAGATTATTTTGTACGAGTTGAGTGGTTTTGTAACTATTTCATCTAATTTTGGTCAGTCAGTTTGAAATATTTTAACAGTTTAAAATAATTAACAAAAATAAAATAAAGAAGAAATATCAGCTTTGAAGAATCGAACTAAAAATAATGATACTACATTTTCTAAGCTGCCGAAACATAAGTATAATTAATTATATTTGGCGTAACACATTAGGCCTATTATATTTGGCGTAAAACATTAGGCCTATTATATTGTCAACATAGGCCTAATTATAGGTATAATACCACCATATAACGACAAGGATAATATTGTTTTTTTTTTATAAATTTGATAAAAGTTGATAATTTACATCATGATCCTACCAATTTCTTAGAGGTTAGATTACAAATACACTTTTTGAAACTAAAGAAATATAATATTCTAAGTAATAAAAAATATTTAAAAATTAATCTATCAAGTAGACATCCAAGATTTGTTTATTGTTTTCCCAAAATTCATAAAGATGCCCGTTACGATCTATAGTTTCAAAAATTGGACCTTATAATCATGATCAGCTAGTTTATTAGTTAATTTATTGAAAACTTTTACTAAAGGAATACAACAACTGATGTTTGATAAAAATGTTATATTTAACGCTTGCTTTGACATCTAGTCTTTGTATAGGAACATACCTTTAGAAGAAACTATAGGGTTAAGTACTTATTTAATTTTTAACAAAACCTCTGATGATATGAGCATTTCTATATCAGTATTTTTGAAATTGATTGCATTTGCAACTAAGAATTCGCGTTTTCTGCTCGATAGCGATGTTTATGATCAGATTGATGGAGTGACTATTGGTCCTAGATGGTTCCCTCTTTAGCCAATTTTTTTTTTTTCATTTTTATGATGAAAAAATGGTTGGAAGACTGAGGAGAATTTTTTAAACACTACACTACTGTACAAATGTAGAAGACACCATCTTTAGAAACTCTGACCAATTTTCTAAATTTCTTAAGTATTTGAACAACAAACATAACAGTGTAAAATTCACCGATGAACATCAACACGCCCATAAACTCCCATTTTTGAACACGCTGATTCATAACAAAAGTTGTAGCTTCAAATGTATATTATTAAAAAAAAAAAACGTTTAATGACTTGCATGTCAACGTTAGAAGTTTCCTACCAACTGTAGAGTTTCAAGTACTTATAGATTTTTAGGTTTCTATATAATAATGTCAATCAGTTGTGGTTTTCTCGCACATTTTGTCTATCGACTACGAGGAAAGTTTTAACAAACCGCCTATGTTTGAAATTCTTATATACTCTGTTGTTATTTATTGGTAAACGTTCGCTGACAAAAAATCGAATACGAAATATTTTTCGCAGGTGGAGTTGTTTTTTTTTAAACCTGATTGTCGCTTAAAAAATGATTTTAGATTTAAAAAAGGTCTTATTCTTTCAAAAAGATGTAAAATTTTGTTATAAATTCATCTGCCCTTACTGTCAGCATGACTATATATATATATGTCGATTTTATTCAAGGAACGTGCAAATTTAAAGTCTGCAAATAGATCAAGTCTACTGGAACCACGCCCTATATGAGTGTTACGTGTGACGTAGTTGCCCACTTAAACTGTTGGTAAGAATTTACAAAGGACCAATGATAAACCGAACCTTCGAATAAAAGAGATTTTGCTCATAAATAACCTGAGGCCAGGAATAACCAAGTAAATTTTACTTTAGTTACTATTGGATTTACACAGGCATGGTTACATTAGTCTTAGTTCAGTCTTTAGGTACATACAGGTATGGTTACATTAGTCAGACTTTAGGTATATACGGGTATGGTAACATTAGTCTTAGTTCAGTCTTTAGGTACATACAGGTATGGTAACATTAGTCTTAGTTCAGTCTTTAGGTATATACAGGTATGGTAACATTAGTCTTAGTTCAGTCTTTAGGTATATACAGGTATGGTAACATTAGTCTTAGTTCAGTCTTTAGGTACATACAGGTATGGTAACATTAGTCTTAGTTCAGTCTTTAGGTATATACAGATATGTTACATTAGTCTTAGTTCAGTCTTTAGGTATATACAGATATGTTACATTAGTCTTAGTTCAGTCTTTAGGTATATACAGATATGTTACATTAGTATTAGTTCAGTCTTTAGGTATATATACAGATATGGTTACATTAGTCTTAGTTGAGTCTTTAGGTATATACAGATATGTTACATTAGTATTAGTTCAGTCTTTAGGTATATATACAGATATGGTTACATTAGTCTTAGTTCAGTCTTTAGGTATATACAGATATGGTTACATTAGTCTTAGTTCAGTCTTTAGGTATATACAGATATGTTACATTAGTCTTAGTTCAGTCTTTAGGTATATACGGGTATGGTAACATTAGTCTTAGTTCAGTCTTTAGGTATATACAGATATGTTACATTAGTCTTAGTTCAGTCTTTAGGTATATACGGGTATGGTAACAGCTGAGGTATAAGTTGTATTCTTTTTTTCTTTGATCTAAAATACTTATGACACATCACACGACGTAAAGGAGTATAAGCTTTATTTTTTTTTTTACAAGTTTGAAAGAAGTATATTTAATGCTATATAATATGATTGGGAATAAGTATGAGACTTGTGTTGAAAATTGTAATTATTTTTTTAATGAATTGGTCGCATCTCCTTCTTCGTCTGGGTTTCCTGAAAGAAACAAAGAAATAGCAAACAATTAAGAAGAATACACACATCGAAAACTAGCAATGAAGGTACTGGTTGGTTAACTGTTTTTGGCACAAAGCTACACAGTGGGCTATTCTAGCTCAGCCCACTTTAACGCTGTAGTTAACAATTAACCAGAAGACTAAAGAAATTTTAATTAGCATACAAATTTACCATTTAAGAGAACAACATTTAGTGTTAGTTTTGTCGATATGCCGTCGTGTATTTAACTATATACGAGCCGACGACGAAACTGTTTTACGAGGGAAATTAGATAATCCAATCACTGACCCGAGCCACTTCTCGTTACGACGATAACTTTTGTTTTCATTTTGTGGGATTTTTAGCTTACCTGTGTTTGTACAGGTGACCTTCGATTGTTTACCAGTAACCGCCGTAACCACCGAGACCATAACCAGATCCGTAACCGCCATATCCTCCGTGTCCGTAACCGCCATATCCCCCGAGTCCGTAACCGCCATATCCTCCGTGTCCGTAACCGCCATATCCTCCGAGTCCGTAACCGCCATATCCCCCGAGTCCGTGACCGCCATATCCTCCGTGTCCGTAACCGCCATATCCTCCGAGTCCGTAGCCGCCATAGCTGCCGAGTCCGTAGCCGCCATAGCCGCCGAGTCCGTAACCGCCATAGCCACCATGTCCGTAACCGCCATAGCCAAGACCTCCGTAACCACTGAGGTAACCGCCCATCACTGCGGCCACACTCAAAATCAGAACGACAACGGACAGCTGAAAGTAAAAGATTGAGATCATAAGTTCACACTCTTTAAAGCAGTGTTTATTAAGGGTGTTTTAAACCAAACTGTTGTCGCAAAACGTAAACGTTTAGTAGATAATTCTTCCCTCGTAAGAAGTTCGTAGAATTCAATATGTCTGCGCTAAAAAATTTCCCGCGTTTTACGAGAACGGGACACGAACCGATAAAACCCTCCGATTTACAGGTCCAAACAAGCAAACATTTATACGAGAAAGTTTAATGTTTAAAATATATTTCTCTCCAGCCCTGTGAAAGAAATATTAAGCCTCTTTTTAAACGTGATTCCCGCTTAGCGTTAGTTTGTTTAAGCGCAAAGCTACGCAATGAATGGGTTATCTGTGTGTGTGCGTTATTCTCATCAACGGTATCAAACCCCGATTTTTAAAACCGAATTATGCACATATGTACGAGTCTTTAAATGTAAATCGTGAAGAAAATACTAACTAGGAAATAGAAAAGCTACAACAAATCTGAGACGAAACATTGAATTATGTAGGGGGAAAACAAAATAATTAACTAAATTTAGTCCCGAAACAATATTGAGCCACCAGGCGACGAAAGATTTAGAGGAAACATAAATTCATACTTACAGCGTTCATTTTGTAACGTTTAGGAAGAAAGAGAGTTTGGAAGAGAACCGGCTTGTTTAGCTGTGTGACACTGTACAGTATAGTTAGTTGCCTCTCCCTATCTTTTATACCCTGAGATTTGGGGAGGAGGAGGAGTGGGAATGGGGCCAGCCAGTACCGATGAATGGGATGAGATTTGTTAAAAGTTACTCATATTCCACAGACTGGTCTCGGAGACACATACAAATCTATTTCGGTTATATTGAAAGTAAATGAACCCTGCTATCAAGAGGTGACTGTAATGGTGACCTGGATTTGAAACTTGGTACACCCAAGCACCTTTCGCCGCAAGGAATAGTCGCAGCGAAACTAGAGATCTGTCAGATAACGGGAACAAAACGAGAAATGGTGAGGCATAAAGCTAATGAAAGTCGAGCGACAAAAATTGGTAAAACATGAAGCAACGGTGTGGTTTAGAAATCTAGTGGTATCTAGTTTCTTCCTACCTTTCAAACCTACTATAGTTATAGAATTAAATCGCTCTTAACTTAGGAATGTCTTGCAAATAACAGCAAAAAAAAAGATGTGGAAAAACTACTTCTAAAACTAGTGTTGTATTCGCGACACGCGCTTGGTTAATTTAGACACAAAAAGACCAAAAATGAGAACGTTGAATAATTTTTATTACCCAGCACATACAAGATTTGCCGAAAGATTCTCTGAAAAATAATCCCAAACCAAGACGTTTCACTTCGTTAGCAAAACAGGTGATATTCATGCATCATATTCCAAGTAGATAATTCATTAAACACGATTTAACACTGCATGGCTCACTTGTTAAGTTTGTTTGTTATGAATTTCGCGCAAAGCTACACGAGGGCTATCTGCGCTAGCCGTCCCTAATTTAGCAGTTTTAAGACTAGAGGGAAGGCAGCTAGTCATCACCACCCACCGCCAACTCTTGGGCTACTCTTTTTTACCAACGAATAGTGGGATTGACCGTCACGTTATAACGTCCTCGCGGCTGAAAGGGCGAGAATGTTTGGTGTGACGGGGATTCGAACCCGCGACCCTCAGATTGCGAGTTGAGCGCCCTAACCACCAGGCCGTGCAATGCCTCTCAGTTGTTAAACTACTAGTTTTTGTTTCATAATTTTTGCTGGTAGTCTAGAGAGAAGGTAGCTGGTCTATAGCTCCTACCATCAACTCCTGGGTCGCTCACAACTGACCAAATCTTATAGCGTATCCGCGGCCTTAAATTGTTAGAGCGAGTTTTCACGGCAACGGGACACGATCCACAAACCCTCGAATACAAGCATGCTAACCACTAGGCTACATCTGGCCCTCTGGTGTTAAGTAAAAATGGTATTATCTAAAGTAAAAGAACGTAAACGTTTTAGTGATAATGTTGTTATTAACGTATACCTTGTGTTATAGTTGTTATTGACCTGTTCCTTGTGTTACAGCTGTTATTGACCTGTTCCTTGTGTTACAGTTGTTATTGATCTGTTTCTTATGTAACAGTTGTTACTGACCTGCTCCCTGTGTCTTGTGTTATAACTGGTCTTGACCCGTTCCCTGTATTGCAGTGTTCCCTCTGTGTTGTGTTATAGCTTGTTTTGACATGTTCCCTGTTTTACAGTTGTTATTGACCTGTTCCCTGTGTCATGTGTTATAACTGGTCTTGACCCATTCCCTGTATTGCAGTGTTCCCTGTGTCTTGTGTTATAGCTGATCTTGACCCGTTCCCTATATTGCAGTGTTCCCTGTGTCTTGTGTTATAGCTGGTCTTGACTCGTTCCCTGTATTGCAATGTTCCCTGTGACTTGTGTTGTAGCTGGTTTTGACATGTGCCCTGTTGTACAGTTGTTATTGACCTGTTCCCCGTGTCTTGTGTTATAGCTGGTCTTGACATGTTCCCTGTATTGCAGTGTTCCCTGTGTATTGTGTTATAGCTGGTTTTGACATGTGCCCTGTTGTACAGTTGTTATTGACCTGTTCCCCGTGTCTTGTGTTATATCTGGTCTTGACCCGTTCCCTGTGTCTTGTGTTATAGCTGGTTTTAACATGTTCCCTGTTGTACAGTTGTTATTGACCTGTTCCCCGTGTCTTGTGTTATAACTGGTCTTGACCTGTTCCCTGTATTGCAGTGTTCCCTGTGTCTTGTGTTATAGCTGGTTTTGACCTGTTCCCTGTATTGCAGTGTTCCCTGTGTCTTGTGTTAT